ATCAAGGGAGAGATGACTTCATGCCTAGAAAATGTTTATGAAACATTTGACCAATTCTAGACTATTTAACCACCTGTGGAATTTTAATATGATCTAATACATTGTCCTAAAACCTCTGCATTCAGTGGCTTAGCATGACTGCTGCCTCAGTGCTCGCCTTATCCTTCTCTCAGCACTGCATGCTGGCAGGTCCCTGAAGGTGGCTGGAATTCTGTGCTATTTCTTCGTACCTCTCAGGCAAGGCATCTGTCCACTGTCTTCTAACCAGGTGTTATGAAGTGTGATGTCTGGTTGGCTGTGAAATCAGTGAGTTCAGCAGATTTCGTTGTGCTTCATCCCTCCCCACTCTCTCTGCTTTTCAGTTCAACAGGTCTTCCATGTAAGTCCCTTGAAAGTGCTTTACTCTCTCTTCTCAGGATCTTTTGCCTCCCTGTCACCCCAGAGTCTTCGTTGTACTGCCTCCTCCTTCTCCATGACATCTGAGCTTTAACATTATTTCTCTGGGGAGACCTCCCTGAAGCCTCTTACCCAGGTTAGCTCCCTCTGAGGTCAGAGCTTCCATGAGACCCTGGACTCTTATTGTTATGCTCATCACATAAATAGTTTTTGTGAATATGGAAAATAAATGGCACTTAATAAATATTAGTTTAATTAGTGAATTAATTATCTTAAGGAAGTCTGTTTTCTTAGAAGGAAAGGTCTTAGAAGCTGCAGTCATAAGTTTCACACACTGATGCCAGAGTGTGTCTCCCTTCTCCTATAAATCACTGCAGTATGTTGGAAAAAGCTCACACGTCACAATGTTTTGGTGCCAAAAATGCCTGAGGTAGAAAATACAATTCTGTTTGTCCTCTCTGTTGTCGGATTAGGCCCTGGCCACCCACCCAACATGCTTACTCAGATTTACACCTTCCGTTGGGACTAAGGAGTTTTGCTCTGTAACCTACCAAAGATCTTTGGAAGAGGGGGTCACATACTGGCTTTTCTCTGACTGAGTTTAGATTATGTCACAGTCTTATTCTTTCCATTTGGTTTCAGAAATTACTTCTGTCTTCACAAGTCACTCAAGAATCATCTCTTACAGTTAATACTGCAGTTTATTGTCTTTGAATTGTCCTATACAGGAGACCTCAGGGTGTGTGTGCATATGTACAAGTGTGTGTGTGTGTTTGTTTGTGTGTGTGTGTGTGTGTGTTCCTGCACATTGAATACACAGTGTTTGCTCACTGCAGTTATCTTCTTCCATCAGACCTGAAGCCACACATGTAGCATGGTTGTGTTCTATGACATTCTTTCTGTGATGGATGGCAAATTTCTTGAGTTACCTTCCATGAGTGCTGATTTGCTTTTGCTGAGCCATTTGACTTTTTCCAGTGTCTTCCTTTTGTGGCTTTCGGCCAGTAGTTGTAAAACAATTCAATGTGTTTCTCTCCAGGTATCTCAAAATGCCCTTATTGACACTGTCATTTGAAATCACAACTGATCCATATCAAGTAGATGAAGACAGGTATGATTGTGTCTCTTACCCAGACAGAGGTCAGTGGAATTAACTGACTGAACCATGAGTCCTTAGTTCCCAGGTGGCACAGAGAACTTGAGGAATCAGGGCTTCCTTTCCCAGGCCCCCAAGCCTCCAGTCTCATTCTGTGTACAGAGCCAAGTGGCTTCTCTAGGCTAATAGACATACCTTCCCTGTAAGTTTGTGACTTCAAACCAGGATTTCCCTTTGGTAGTAAAATTCTTTACATCTTCCCACTTCTGGTTAGTGTCTAAGTTAGATCTTAGGAGTAGAGACAGGCAGGGGAAAATGGAAAAGACACCAGTGAGTAATACTGGTTTTTTTCTGCCATGATTTTGTGATGTTGCTCTCCTTCCTGACATCTTAAAAAGTTTCTCATTTGTATCTACTTCCTAGTCTATCAAGAACGGGAAGTTTCTTCTCAGGACTGGCATCCATAAAGCTGCTGTGAGCTTTGGGTATGTGTCCAGGCCTTTCCAGAAAGCCTCCCTCTCTGGCATGGTAAACATGCTGCTGATGAGAAGGGCAGGGGTCTGCTTCATGTTTTATTGTGCTGTTTATGTATGTCTTTCCTTTTCTGTTTCTTCTTCCTCCTCCTCCTTCATTCCTCTTTTGTGTGAAAATGCTTTTTCTGGCTAGTTCATTGTCTGGGTTTGTGGCGAACTTTCAAAGCCTTCTTAGGTTAAGCTGTGGGAAGGTCACTGTCACAAGGGTAAAATGCATGAATTATCAGAACTGGTTGAAAACATCAGACTGAAGAGGACAAAATGTGCCCCTCAGTTGAGGCTATTCTGGGCTAAGGTCTCTTTTGTGGTCCAAGGCTATGGCTTTCCATGGAAGTAAGTCCTATATAATGTGCCCTGCAGAAATACTCACACAAATATACAGAGATGTAAAGAAGGGCAGACATTTTGCAATTGTTATTGTGAGAACCTGAAAATAACTTCAATATCTGCCTACTAGTAGAAGAATACTTAATTAACTATGGTGAGTCCATGCGATGGAACTCTATGTAATCATGAGAAACAATACGCTAGATCTAGAGGTAGTGAATGGAGAAGATACTGTTCAAAGAAAAATATACATATTATATATTTAAATATGTATATATCCACAGAAAACTCTAGAAGGATATACTCCAAACTATTAACAAAAGGTCATGGGTATGGGATTAGAATAAAGGAAGAGCAGGCATTTTGTTTTTTTAGTTTATATACATTTGTAAGATTTACTTTTTTTGCAATAGATAATGAGTTTTATCATTATAATTAACAATCATGGGTGGTTAAGCAGTAAATGATATATTAATATCACTAACTCTTCCCTGTAATTTTGGGTTTCTATCTGGGTGTTCTTTCAAGTGAAACACTGAGAGGTCATTAACTTGTCCCATTGTGAGGCTGAAGATCTTTTTTGACTTCTCTTACATTATGTGAATTATCACCTGTCCCTATCTGTTTCTCAGTTAGTCTCATCAGAAAAGTAACTTCTCACTGAAACATTAAGAAATATTCAGCAAGTAGTAGTGTTGACTAGATTGACTTATGCCTCTTTGAGAAGTGCAAGACTATTCTTCTGTAAGAGTCAACCTGCTGTATGCAAATGCCAGACTTCCCTGAGTTCTAGTCTGTCACCCCATCTGTGTGCCCACCACAGTTCTGGGCTCAGGGCTTATCAGGAAAGGAGGGAAATTATTCACAGAAGAAATCATATTCCTTGTGAAAATGAAGTATTCAAATGCCACTTCATCATTTTCTTCATTTCATGATATTTGATTTTGGTGAAGAAAGGAGAATAATGAATACTATGTGTGGGCCCTCAACAGATACAAGTCCATTGATTTCATTTTACTCATGTTTTCAATTAATCCTAGAGCCCAGATTGATTTGTTTTAGTTTTCTGGAAGGAAATAAGAAATTTTTGCTAATTATTTTATTTAATCTGGACTAAAGGTTTTGGAGAGTATTGAATTATTTCTGTGACTTTTGTTTGATGGTTTTCTGTCACCTACTTTAGATGTAGATGATTGAATATTATAATTTCACATGCCTTAATGCTCACATTAAGCATTAAAGGTGGTGAACACAGTAGTGAATACACTAGTGAAAACAGCTAACACATTTCTTTTCCGTATCTTTGTACTTTAATTCCAAAAGTTAAGCATTAAATTAGCTTTCATCCTACTTATGCCTTGATTATAGTCAAGCTCCTTGGTATGAAGTTGAGACAGGAAAGTTAGATGCACCTGTGAAAATCCAGCCTGCAGTTTCACATATATGGGTCATGACAACTTTTACTCTAGTTATAGTTTGTTAATTAAATAAACAATTTGTTTGAAGTATAATTTGATAACGATAATTTTAAAATATGCTAAACTTTTTTTTTTTAGCTGAAAAATCATCAATTAGATTTGGGGCTAAGACAAGGTGTTGTATCTCTGTCAACAGAATAGGGATGGATTATAGTTCCTGTCACTTCTCAAGTCATCATCAGTGAACATGCCTGGGCTGGGGGTATAGCTGATTGCCTGTTCTTCTCCCTGGTACACAGTCCAACATGTGCCTGACTCAGGCGAATCTGTAAAGTCTTCTTAGAATACAAAGCCTAGAATAATAGCACTCAAAATATTTTCTTTCTTTTTTTTTTTTTGCCGTTCTGCTGCTTGCCTCTTCCCTTGAGTAGGGGGCTGCCCTAACCCAGAGACAACATGTTTGTGTTTTTGGTATCATGTCTGGAGAGAGAGCTGGGCATATGCAGTGACCCTGTCTCTTTTTGTGTCCTGAGACCTTGTTTCCCCAAGGTAGACTCAGCATGAAATCGCCTTTCACAGCGGCTTTGCTTATCAAGTTTTTCCCTTTTATCTTTCAGAGACCTAATTTCTTACCTAGTATTTCTGCCACTTGATATACATTTTCCTCATTGTCATCTCAGAAACAAAAAGATAATTTTTTGAGGACACTTTTGGTGCTCATGCTGAAACACTGGTGATCTCTGTAAACTTAAATGTACGCATTTATCTCTTAGAAACTCAGGCCCTTCCTTTGATCAGATGGATTTCTGGCCCACTGGCAGTCAGTTATTTCCTAAAATATTAGTATGACAGATTTTGTGATCTCTGATTTGAGCATAATCCCATTGTGTACAGACTGCTTTGAAGTTGTTTCAGTGCTTACTAAATCTCCTGCTACATATCTTCTTTTTCTGCCCTGTATGGGTTTTTCCAAAGTTTAGGTTTCTTTTTAAAAAAACCTTATAACACCCCTCTCCCTCCTGCCACTATTTAAAATAATAAAGTGTAGTTGCCTTGTTTTCAAGTGCTTTAAATTTGTTGATGTTTCTAGTAACTTTTGGTCTTATCTGCTGACCACCTACTGGAGTTTTCCTGGGCACGCATGCGGGATGGGTCCCAGTGTCCAGGGCTTGTTTTGAGTTTCTGCTGCCAGCTGCATGCAGTGAATGAGTCTCCATTTCTCTTTCTCAGTGCAATCGCTTCAATACTGAGGGCCTGGCTTGACCAATGTGCGGAAGACTTCCGAGAGCCCCCTCACTTCCCTTGCTTACAGAAACTTCTGGATTATCTCAAACGGATGATGCCAGGCTCTGACCCGGAGAGAAGAGCACAAAATCTTCTTGAGCAGTTTCAGAAGCAAGAAGTGGAAACTGACAGTGAGTACTTGCTTGATCACAGGACAAAAGCTCAATTCTGATTCTCCAACCTCCGTGTTAGAAAAACGTTCTCCCTATACTGACTGAGTAGGAAGCCTTGGTACCCTCAAGAGGACAAGCTGCTGGAGGATTGGTGTGGGTAAAATATTCTCTAGGTTATTGAAGTGCTAGTTAGCCTAGAGTTGTAGAGTCAAGAGGGAATTTTCAAGACCACTTAGTATGGCTCCCTTATTTTATAGATGAGAAAACTGTGGGAACTCTGGCTCAGAGAAATTAAGTAAGTTCACCTGCTATTCAGAAGAAGGGACTCCCTGATGGTTTTCTATCTTCCCTTGTCAACATGTACCATGCTGAACCTGAATTTGCATTTTGTTATCTGCCTAATGGCTCCTTCTTCCATTAGCTGTAAACCCACCACAGCCTCCCCCATTCAGTTGAGTCCAGTTCTGACCCTGTTCACCCAAGAACTCGGGAAAGATTTTTCACCTTCAGCATAGAAAGCTTCACTGTAGCCTGTCTCTTGCCAGCACAGATTACTGCCATTTAGCATTTCTAATGGCCTCATCAAAGGAAGTTTCTGTGGCTGTTTTTTCCTATTTGAGGAATTGGCTGCCTATTTTCAAGGACAAAGGAAGGGCTACCACTACAGGTCGTGGGGTGCTTGGAAACTATCAGACTTTGAAGAAAGTCAGAAAGAAGTTAGGCCAGGCGTCTAGCTGCTGGCTTATCCCCTCACTGGGGTGCTGGGTGACGGTTGCCATGGTGGCTGACCCACTTGGAGCTTCTGACAGGCATTTCCCTGAAGGGATGCCTGATTTCCTCAGTGAGGGAGAGGAAACATTCCTTTCCTTCAATAAGGGAAGCTGCATCAGCTCCAAAGAAAACAGCCTCAACTTCCAAACAATACCTGCTGAATTTTTTATGGGGGACCAGAGAGAGGGAAATGCAATTGCATCACTGGAAGCTGCCTGCCAAATACTCTTATATCTCAGATGACTTCATCTGCGGAGAATGTTTGAATACCAGGGGCACTCCTCTAGTGCTGGACCCTGCTCCCTTCAGGGCCTCCATGCCTGGCTTTGTGCTGGGGTGGAAAACTCTGTGTTGGAGCCCAGCTCTCCCCACTGGGACTGCCCCTGGCTCCACGCCTAATTGGGGAACTGGTGGGACCAGTCTTTCATTGTTTCCAACCTAGGAACTGGAAGGCAGAGCTCATTTGGCAGGCCTAGGCAGGGGAGAGGGAGATTGCCTTGGTTCCCATGTGTGCTTGTTTTACCCAGTCTACTCCAGCAAAAGCCTCAGACTCTCCCATGTGATATTCAAAAGTAAAATCGTGCTTCAAGTTTTCACATACCTCTGAAAGATTATCAACAGCATAAGACAGAGGCTGCATGGACCATGCCCCAGCGAGAAAGAACTGTGTAACCTTCATGCACAGCAATCTAGACGTGTGTTGGGCTGCTGTAAGTGTTTGCTGAATGAATGAATGAAGAGGTCAAAACTTAGTGCATACCCTTCTTAGGTGAAGTAGGCTCTGCATGGCAGGGTGATTGGCAAGAGGCATGAGAGGTCCATTTGGAACCTTTGTTTGGGATCCCACATGTCTTATTCTAGCACTGAATGAGGGGGTACAAGAGTTGTGGGGGACAAATGATGAAATCGGATTGCTTAACCTCCTCTGTTAGGGTTTTAGCTTCCTTTCGCCTGTGCCTATGAGTGTCCTGAACTCTAGGGGTAGGTAGTGATCCCCTCCTACATTTGCCAGTCATAAGCCAACCCCATTCACATTCTAGATCTTCAAGTCTGGGGTAAGGTGGGCATCCTTAAATCATATGCCTGCTACTGAGTAGGCAGTTACCACATGCTGCCCTAAATGTAGGGTCAACTCTCAGAACCTCTTTGCACCTAGAAACCAAGAAAAAGCCACCACAACTTGATCCAAGATGCCTAAAATTCTTTTATTTGTCAAAGACAAAAAAGGTTTAAAATATAAACATTCTGGGGAAGTAGTAACACACTGATTTATGTCTGCTAAGATATAACCGAATATAAGTAGATTTTTTCTTTGAGGAGAGGTTTGAAAGGAAGGAGGATGAAGAATGTGAAAGGGAATGAGGTTGAGAAACAAGAAGGGAATTGGAATTGGGGAAAGGTTCGAGGGACAGGAGACTGGGGATTTCAGTCAGAAAAACATCACCAAATTCCAGTGTTTTCACCAAAATCCAGTCTGGATATTCCTATTCTAGGAATGAACCTTTCAGTTTTTTCTTCAGAGTCGTGGGTGGTGATTTTCTCTCACTTCTTCAGGCCACACCCTATGTAATTTGCTAATTGATGATCTTACTGATGATACGCCTCAGGTGAATTAGTTAAAGGTTGTTCTCTGTCTTCATGCATTCACTTTAGGTAGAAACAAAACGATTTTGAGAATCCTGAGGATTTTATCAGCCTTTCTAACACCAAAATGGCCCATCTCATACCCCAGACCCTGACCTACTTCCATGTCCAGTCCTTCCAGGCGCCTGGTTCTAAGTGGCCCAGCAGTTAAGAACCGCATGGTTGCAGTTAGGCGTTACTTGGATTAGTCCTGGAACTGATGAGAGTTTGAGGGAGCCTAAGATGAGGGTAGCCCCTGAGTGTAAGCCCAGTTTTGCTTCTCTAGGCTCTGCCTAATCTGGCTCCATCTTCAGCCTAGGAACCAGTGGTTTGTCAGACTGACAACATGAAGTCTCTAAGAGCAAGCAGTTTGGGATGACCTCCATTTCACCCAGAAGTGTTGTGCCTGCCGTTCCCTCCCAGAGTTTTCTGAGGGTTTGGCTTTCTTCTTCCTAAGTGAAAGAAGTCCAGTAACTCTAGATAATGTATACTGGCACCAGATTGCTAACTTTTTCCATATGTGACCAGATGGGCTCCCCAGTACCATCTCCTTCAGCCTGGAAGAGGAGGAAGAACCGGAGGGCGGAGGGTCAGCGGAATTCACATGCTTCTCAGAGGACCTTGTGGCTGAGCAACTGACCTACATGGATGCAGTATGTCTTCTCTTTGTGTCTCAGAGGACCTTCCGCTTAAAACATGGGGGAGTGATGGTGATGGTGCTGGAGAGAGCAGTGGGGGTAATGTGACTTCAGTCTTGAATCCTTCAGAGAGGATTCTTGCACTTGTAAATGCAGGGTTAAGATATGACTTCAATCTCTCACCTGAGTAACTGAGACCTGAGCACTTTTAAGTCTAGGAAAAGGTGCTTTTTGTTTGCAGCTCAAGACAAAGAGGGAAGTAAGAATTCAAATCTTAATGAAACAAAATCAACCCTGTTCCATGGGTATTTTCCTCTGTCTATACTCATAAGTATTTCAAGATCTGAACTGTTTATTTGGAGGATAATAAAGGGGTCAAAATATAAGATAGGATAAAATAAATCCAGAGTCCATGTGTGACTGTATGCAGCAGCTCACTTCCACATGTGCTTCCTGCTCTTTTGATGTTTGGATATTTTTGTTAGCTGTACATATTTGATTATGTCCATTGCATTTCACAGCTCAGTGTTAGATGATAAATACCAGTTAAAGAAAAAATGACTGTGAGGAATTGTCACAGTGGTTGTGGGTCTTCTGCATGACCACTTTTGAGAAAACAGCATAGAAAGTGGCAGAGAATTTCCATCTAATGAATATGACCCAGTAGTTTGTTAATAATTTACTTGTCTGTTGAGATGGACACCATGAGGCAAATCAAGTAGAAAAGGATTATTTGTCCATTCACAAAATACTGATTTATAGATGATGTGCTTTGCTGTATGAAATGCCTGTGTTGTCCCTAAAGTCAATTCCTCTTTTGTTCTAGCAACTATTCAAGAAAGTTGTGCCTCATCACTGCCTGGGCTGCATTTGGTCTCGAAGGGATAAGAAGGAAAACAAACACTTGGCTCCTACAATTCGAGCTACCATCTCCCAGTTTAACACCCTCACCAAATGCGTTGTCAGCACCATCCTGGGGAGCAAAGAACTCAAAACCCAGCAGAGAGCCAAAATCATTGAGAAGTGGATTAACATCGCTCATGTAATTGTCTTTTTAAAAAATATCCTTTATGCTTGGTAGATGCGAGTGACTTCCCCATCACCTTGTTGAAGTGGGTTTGCCGTTTGCTTGAAATGCAGAAGGATCACCTGAGCCCAGCAAGTTGACACTGCAGTGGCTGTGAGCGTGCCACTGCACTCCAGCCTGGGTGACAGCATGAGACTCCTACTCAAAAAAAAAAAAAGAATATAGTATCTGTGTGTATGACACAGTGTGGCTCAATGACTCTTGGTCCAAATTAAATATCAATTGTGCATTTATGTGATAATAAGAAATACAAGTTAAATAATTTAAAGTATATTTCAGATTCCATAGCATGTGCTAAATGGTCCCTGACATAGTTTCCTAATACTTATGTCTTGTAAAATTGTGTAGGGAAACTTAAAAAAAAAAAATGAAACTTACAAGTGACATCTTGCCAAGATTTATTTTACTTTTCCTGCATTCATCATAGTCGGTGTCTACTGAAAGGATGTTTGAAAATTGACAATTTTACATTCAGAACATTTTTTTAACCTAATATGATTATATTTTCTTGGCCTGCTACATTTTAACTTTTGCATCACAGCTCCTAGAAGATGTCTTTTTTTCTAGAAATGGAACTTGATGTCTTTTGTACTCCTTAAAACCTTTCAATTAAACCTCTTCCTAAGTAATGTGTTCCATATGTTTATTACAATTTGCATGATATATCTGTGTCTGAGTTCCTTTTTTTATTACAAGTTTCCTGATTTTTAGAACTTAACTTTTGGGTTCTGAACCTTTTTTTGTTTGTTTTGTTTGTTTGTTTGTTTGTTTTTTGAGTTGTAGTCTCACTCTGTTGCCCAGACTGGAGTGCAGTGGCCGCTCCCGGCCACCGCAGCGTCGACCTGCTGGGCTCCGGCGATCCTTCTGCCTCAGCCTTCCAAGTAGCTGGAACTACAGGCGTGTGCTACCACGCCCGGTTGATTTTTTTTGATTTATTGTAGAGATGAGGTCTCGCTGCCCAGGCAGGTCTCGAACTCGCAGGCTCAGGCAATCCACTCACCTCAGCCTCCCAAATCGCGGGATTACAGGCTGAGCCACCAAGCCCTGCCGGGTTCTGAACCTTTGCTGAGTCATGCTCTCATAGGCTTGGTTTCCAGACTGCAGTTCAGAGCTCACATTCTCTCTGTCTCTCTGCCTTTTTGCCTCTCTGTCTCTCTCTCTGTCTCTTTCTGTCTCTCTCTCTCTCTCAATAAGGGAAGGACATTGAGATATTTTTAAAGTATGGACATGACTTTTGCAAAGTACTTCAACATTTACTCTAAAGAAAACGTTCAATGCTTTGGCATCATTTTCAGTAGCCAGATTTTGGCATGTTAAATTAGAGAATGCTGTTTTTCTTTCGTATTTGGAATTAGCATTACTTTGTGAAATGATCCTTGAAGTGACTTGTATTTATGCCCAACCACTCTGGGACCTCTTATCCCAGATGTTCTGTGCAAAGCTGTCCACTCTCCCCATATTACCACCTTCCCTGTGCCAGTCAAGAGTGGGACCCTCTCCCTGGCTGTTTGCTGTCACTGCTATTTATCCAGTGGACTTGGACTCCAAGGTCACTAACTATAGGCTTCTTATGGTAGCTGAAGTTTAAGTAGGGAGTTTGTCTCCTTACCCAGAAAATGGCATCCAGAATGTTTCCTGTTCTCTTTCTATTTTGTTTTAAAACGCTGCCAAAATGAATTTTATTTTAAAAGGCCAAGTTATTTTGGAAGCATTGAAGTACCAAGGTGTTTCTCAATGTTTATGGTTGTGGGACAAGCCAATTTGAAATCAAATGAATGTGTATAAAAATATTCCCTCTTGGCTAAGAGCATAAAAGCCAAAGTTCAACTTGTGGTGAATTTTTATTGCCAAGTTATATACACCTCTGTGGACAAGGGCTGGTCATGAGATGTTTGATACCAACTGACCTCGCGGTGGCTCCTACCCAGCTCACTCTGTGGGTCTAGAGGAAATCTGAAGTGATCTTTCATGTGTATTTTGGGAGCCTCTGTGTGCCTTCAGCAGAAGAAAGTTGCTTTCTCTAGCATAGCTCTGTAGACGTACCTCCATTAGTGTTTTTACTAGGAAAGCTGGAAACTATAAAACTGTAACAACAACGCAAAAAAATATATTAACAGGAGAAAAACAAGCATACAGTGCCAAAATCTATAAAGTGTTTCGATGGTTGGGGTGGGAGGAAGGAGCCACTTTTTGATGTTCAGTATTTATACAGCTGCCTATTTAGTGGCAAGAATTCATAGCAGCTGTGATACCTCTAGAACAGGAAACCACCAAGTCACTGTAATATTGATATTTAAATGGCTTTTATGTTTTAATCACTCCCCATACAGGAATGTAGACTCCTGAAGAATTTTTCCTCCTTGAGGGCCATCGTTTCAGCGCTGCAGTCTAATTCCATCTATCGGTTAAAAAAGACGTGGGCTGCAGTCCCAAAGTAAGTTCCCGAGTGTCTGCTCCACTTTTCTTCCGCGGGGGCAGGGGGTTAGGGAGGTGGGGCTAGTTGCTATATGAGTGCTCTGGGTCCTTACCTTCAAAGCTCATATTGTATAACAGGAGAAACATATTTGAAATCCTCTATGTGTTCCAGACGGGGTGCATCTTACACATCATCATTAATGAGTTTTGAGGCAGGGCTGCTGTGCAGAAATCAAACTCATTCTAAGTATGCCAAAGCCCAGATTATTGGCTTTTGGAGTGATTTGAAGGATGTGCTTATCATCTGAATTTTGAGGGATAAGGCTGTGGAGTAATGAAGTTATAGCAATTTGCCATAATTCTGGTAATTTTTTAGCTTCATTTCAAAGCTTAAGCTATTCCAGGATTTGAGGGATAATGTGTGCAGATATAGGACATTTATTCTTGATGTTTGACAGGAGACTGTTTAGTTGTCCATTTCTGCTTCAGCAAATTAAAATCTATGTTAGAGATATTAAAAAACCTCTCTGTGTTCCTTCCTGGCCACATTCTATGCTGCTTTTCTTCATATTCCTTGGTGCAGCCTTAGGAACAATTAACAACTTAACTTCCTTAATATATGACTACTGCTGTTCCTTCCATTTCCAGAACTTCACTTGTAGAGAATGTTTTGCAAAGGAGGAAAGGTTGAGGCAGAGGGCAGTTCTGACCCCATATCAGTACTGATTTAGAGGCTGGGGATTTTGTCATGGGTACCAGCTAGGCCAGCTACATTCAACAAGTCTACCTGGGTTTGAACTAGTTAGGAAGTCAGGCTACATCAGGAAAGAATGTTGAATTCTGTATGGTCTATACCATATGTGATAAAGTCAGCTTCAGTCAGGAGGGAGGCTAGCTGGCTCCCTAGCCCAGGCTGTCCTGGTGGAACTGGGTGGGGGGGAGGGGGTGGTGTGCATACCTTCTAAGACAGCAGTCACACCAATGCACATCTTTTGGAGAGTCTTGCCTATATGCACCAGAGGACATGTATACATAACATTTATGATAATAAAACCAAAACAAATGTAGCAGTATTATTTCAAGCTCCACCTCACTTTCATTCATTTATTATTTACATATTTCACAGACATTTACTGGAAGTTTGCTACGTCATTGGAAAGTCACTGTTGAAGACACCAGTAGGAAACCCTTAGAAACAAGACACCATGCAACCAATTGCGCCTCTTTCTATAGCTACATCTAAAATAGTATTATAATAGTAGTACTGTAGTACTGTGTGTTGTGTGTGTGTGTGTGTGTATGTGTGTGTGTGCAGGCATGTATGTGTATATTTTAAATAAAGTGGCTTTGAGAACTTGAAGGAAAGACTGATTTGGCTTGAAAAGGAGAATGTTGGGTGGAAAGGTTTCAAGATTAAAATAATGCTGTTAGTCCAACCAACACCTTTT